AAGTTGAACGTCTTTTCATTTCTTTTTGGCAATTTGGTACCTTCTTCGGTGATGTGCCTGTTCAAATATCCTACACTGCATAGGATATTCTGCTGTGTTGTCTACCACCACCGGTTTCCATACCGCAGCTCACTCCATCATTCCTTTGCTTTCTTTTTTCTTTTTTTCTTTTTTTATTTCCTTTCTTTTGTTAGTGCTTCATGGTATGCCTCTTTCCATACTTTTGATATTTCTACATTCTTTTGTCTTAGATATATCTTTTGTAAACAATATTTAGTTGAGCTTTGTATAACCTGCCAATCTTTATCTTTAATTGGAGTACTTATTCCATTTATATGTAATATAATTGTTAATATGTTTGGGATTGAATTTATCATCTTTACTCTTTCCAAAAAAAATTTTAAAATAACCTTCGAAATTTTCAATTGAATTAACACACTGCCAATTTTAATACCCTTGCTGTTTATTTTAATTCTATATTTTTTCATCTCACAAGTACATATTCATTTAGAACTGCCCACATTTCACTACTTTGTTCTTCATTCCTTTTAAAACCCAACCTTCCTAGCTGAGACCATTTTCCTCTAGTTTGGGTCTGCTGTTAGCAAATGCTCTCAGCTTTTGTCGGAAAATTTCTTTATTTCACCCCCCAGGATGAAAGACATTTTCACTGGGTATAGAATCCTAGGTTGGCATTTATTTTCTTTCAGCATCCCGAGATAACATTTCACTGTCTTCCGGCTTCCTTTGCTACCGTTGGGAAGTCAGCCGTCACTCTGTTGTTCTTTTAAAGGTATGATGTTTTACTCTGTGACTGGTTTTACAGTATTCTCTTTGTTTAATTTTTTCTGCTTGCCAGATTTGTTTATTGTTTTGTTTTGTTTCTTTGTGTGACATGTCACCGTGGTGTGTCTAGGAAATAATTTTTGTTGTTTTTTATCCTGTCTTGAATTCCTATGCTGGAATGTTCTGGTTCTAGAAAAATCCCAGCCATTATCTCTCCAAATAGTACTTTTCCTGCATTCTCTCTCACCTTCCTTCTAGGACACTGATTAGACATATTAGATATCTCACCATATTGTCTGTTTTATTAATACTGTCAGAGTCCTATCAGAACAAAGACAACACTCAAACTGGCTGAGGTGAGAAAAGCTTAATAAAAGAACTCCTTGCCAAGGGTAAAGTTTAATGTGCCTGATAGGGCAGGTCCAGTCCCTTGGGAATAGTATAATTAAACAATGCTGAGTCATTACCACCTTCTAGACATGAAGGGGCAGGGGGTGGGAGCCCCTCCAGCACTGAGAGGGGTGTCTTTATGGAGAGGCCACCTGACAGATGCACACAGCAATCCTTTGGCCACCAGCAGGAAGGGAGCCTGGGGTACATAATAAATACCCTGACTTCACTCCACTCCCACCCTCTGACCTTCTGCCAATGTTTGCCATTAGCCAAATCAACCGGAAGCCAGAGATCAAGAGAGCCTCTTGATGCAGTCTGTACAGGTCCTGGGGCACGGGGCAGGACAGGGAATGACAGAGACTAGCTCTGAAGGGGCAAACAGAAGATATCCAGCACAATTTCTTACCTCTCTTGTGCGTTCCCATATTTGTGTCCTCGGTGCTGAATTCTGGATAATTTCTCTTGACCTATCTTCCCATTCACTAATTATCCCTCAGCCATGTCTAATATGATGTTAAATTTTTTCATTGAATTTCTTAATTCCAGATTTGGTATTTTTCACTTCTAAAATTTCTTTCATTCTTTTTCTAATCTGTATCATTTGTAGGTTCCTATTCCTTGGAGACATTTTTAAGCTTATATTTCATTTCTTTATTCCTAGTCAAATAGTTGTTTTATAGTTCATGTCTGATCATTCCAATATCTGAGTTGTTGTCAGGTATATATTGTCTGTTTTTCTTGCTGTATGTCACCTATGGAGTCTTGCTTCTTTCCGTGTCTGGTTATGTTTGTCTATGTACTGCATGTTGTTTGAGGGGAAATAGTAGGAATAATTTGAGGCCTATAATGAAAATATTTTCCTCCACAGGGAATCTGTGTTTGCCTCTGCCAACCACCTAAGGACACTTCAGCCCGAGACTACCCTAAGCCAAATCCAATGCCTGAGATTCCCTGGATGCCCCCAGGCAATTCAAACCCGGCTGAAATTCACCTGGGTTTCTTTACATCCACTTCAGCATCCCCTGGGAGTGGTAGAGGGTCTACTATTAGCTTAACCACCTTGTGCAGTCTCTGAGCTTCAGTGTCTATCCCTTCATCCCACAAGGCTGTCAAAACAAAGGATCTAATTTTCTGGGATTGTCAAATGCCCTCAAGGCGTCAGTAGTTTTCCTGTCCCCTACCTCTCAGGGTCATATTCCCCACACACTGGCCTTTCTCCAGCCTTTTCCGTGGAGGAGCTGATTCGAGTAAGTTAGTGCACCATTGCTGGAAGACAAGAGTCTTCCCATTTCTTTATTTTTTAACAGATTTATTGAAATACAATTCACATACTATACAATTTGCCCATTAAGTCATATAATTCAATGATTTTAGTATATTACATTATTAATTTTATAATTGTAGTAAAATATATATAACATAAAATGTGCCATTTCTACCACCTTTAAGTGTACAATTCAGTGGCATTAATTATATTTGCAATTGTTGCACAACTAGCACCACTATCTAATTCTAAAACTCTTTATCACTCCAAGCAGAAAATCTGTAACCATTAAACAATAACTCCCCATGCTCCCCTCCCCACAGCCCCTGGTCACCTCTAATTTACTTTTGTCTTTATGAATTTGCCTAGTCTGGATATTTCATGTAAGTGGAACTATATAATATTTGTCTTTTTGGGCTGGATGCTTTCCCTTGGCATAATGTTTCCAAGGTTCGTCCGTGCTGTAGCATGTATCAGAACTTCATTCCTTTTTACGGCTGAATAATATTCCATTGTATGTCTAGATAGCATTTTGTTTATCCATTTATCTGTTGATGGACGCTTGGGTTGTTTCCATCTTTTGGGCATTGTGAGTAACGCTGCTGTCCACGTTGGCATGCAAGTGTATGTTAAAGTCCCTTCTCTCAATTATTTTGGGTGTCTACCTAGGAGTGAAGTTGTTGGGCCATATGGTAGTGCTATGTTTAGTTTCTGAGGAACTGCCATACCATTTTCCATAGCAGCTGCACCATTTTATATTCCCACCAGCAACGTATGAGGTTTCAGTTTCTCCACATCCTCACCAACACTTGTTATTTTTCATTTTTGGACTGCAGCCATCCTAGTAGGTGTGAAATGACATATTGTGGTTTTGATTTGCATTTCCCTGATGACGAAAGATGTTGAGCATCTTTTCATGTGCTTTTTGGCCATTCGTGTATCTTTTTTGGAGAAATGTCTATTTAAGCCCTTTCTGCATTTTTGAATTGGGTTGTTTGTCTTTTTGTTGTGAGTTGTGGCTCGCATTCCTACATATGCCCACTTGGCTGAGACTTTCTCCACTGCTGCTGCAATAAAGCTGTTCTTGTCAAGGTCACCAGTACCCTCACATTGCTAAGTCCAATGGGCAGTTCTCTGTCCCCACCAAACGTGACCCTGTCAGCAGAATTTGATTCAGCCAATTACCCTCACTTTCATGCCCTAGCTTCCAGGAGCCCACTCCCCTCCCTCTCCGGCTACCTCCCCGGCCACTCCTGCTCAGTCTCCTGTGCTGGCTTCTTCTTACCTTGCTATTTCTTGGTCCTGAGGGGTTAAGTGACTTGCCCAAGGTCACACAGCAGCACAGGGCAGAGTGAGGATTTGAGCCCAGGCCCTTCTATGCCAAACACCCACTCTTCCCAGGGGGGTGGGGACTATACTTTGGAATCTCCTGGAGTCCCCCACGCTGTTGTGCCCACCCAGCCAAGGGTCAAACAGGCCTGAGGTGGCCCACCTTGAGTCTGCTTAAAGCAGGGGTGGGGGCTCATTCAGCCACCCCACTAGAGCCCTCCCATCCCCTGCCCCATCACTCCAAGATCCCTCATGCCCCTCAAGCCCCTTGTACCCAGCACTAGGCCCAAAGACCATTTAGGGCAGAAAACGGCCATGATGGTCACTGACATCTCAGGGCAGCCCTGCTGCCCCCTGCTCCCTCAGGTCTCCTAGGGTCATTCCTGTGGACCAGGTGGAAAGGCCACAGCCCTGCACAGGCCTGGCCTCCAGTCACAAGGCAGGGCCTTGACCGGGGCAAGCCTCCTTTCTCTAGTCCTCAGTCTCCCGATCTGAAAAATGGGCACAAGGACACTGTACAAACTACAAGCTCTGTGCACATACTGTCATGACCCTTAACTTGAAGCAGGTTGGGCTGGAGGACCCAGACCCCAGCAAACCCAGGACTAGGAGGGAGTGGTCAAGGAAGGCTTCCAGGAGGTGACTTTGTGGTGAGCCCTAAAGGCTGAGTGGGAATTAGCCAGGTGATAGGGAATACTCTAAGCACAAAGCCTGCAGGTGTGGGGGTGCAGAGGCAGGAGAGGGGGAAAAGTCAGGTAGAGCTGGAAACCAGAGAGCCCGGGTCAGAGGTGACGGCTTTGCAGATGGCTTGGGCTCTGGCTGCAGTGCCTGGGAGCCATGGAAGGTGACAAGCAGTCGAGCAGTGGGGACACAGGGCCAGATTAGGCAGCTCCAGCTTGGGTGAGGAGGTGGAGGGGAGACCCTGGAACTGGGGAGACCCAGTAAGAGACTGCTGTGGATGAGAGACATGCTCAGGGACCAGGGGCCGACTGTCCCCAGGCCACTCCTATCCAGCCCCACCACTCGTGCCCCTTCCCTGCCAGCCCACAGTGCTCTTGTCCGCCCCTCGGCCCCCACCCCATCAGGGTCCAGCTCAGGGCCCAGCCCGGCTTCCACCCTGGACTCCCTGCTCCCGGCACCAGGCCCTGGTTACAGAGGCCTGCTGGCGTGGCCGAGCCAGGCCAGCCTGAGCTGCAGCCCTGCCCTCATGGCCCCTCTCTGCCCACAGCCACACCTTCCAGCTGTGGAAGGCCCTGGGAACCGAGCAGCCAGTGAGCCACCTGGTGCTGGCCAAGCTGCTGACCTGGCTGCACAATCGGCCCCTGCCTACCCGTGCCAGCGACAGTGGCCCCAAGGAGAAGCCCTACCTGCGCTCGCTGGCCGTGAGTCTCTGCTGCCACCCCTGGACCCCAAGCGATGCTCGGTCACATGCTGGTGGCACCTGGAGCACCCACTGTGTGGCAGGCTGCAGAAGCCCAGCCCAGCCCCAGCCAGGAGGAAAGGGCCCTGGGGCAGCCCAGCCTCCACTTCCTGGCCAAGGCTCCACCCTGTGTGTGAATCAGGACAGTGTGTCAGTCCTCAGGGGCTCAGTCTTGTGGTGTGTGCCCGGCCTCAGAGGGGGCAAAGAGAGGAAAAAAGAGACTCAAAGCCCCTCCCCCATGCCTGAGCTCTGGAGTCATAGATTCTTGAGGAATCTTAAGGGCTGCCTCCTGCAGCCCCGCCCTCCTGTAGGAATCCCTGCCCCAGCTTCCCCCATAGGCCCAGCCCTGCTTGCACACCCCCAGGAGCAGGACGCTTACCTCCTAACGCAGCCACATCTGTCCCCCTTGACTGGACTCTGCAAGGCAGCAGCTGTCCCCCAACCCTGTTTGGAACTTTTCAGGCTGAGTTCCTGCCCCAAAAGTCCCCTGAGCAGAGGCCCAGAGCTCACGGCTGCCCCCCACCGGGAGTCCCC